AGAGTTGGATCCCTAAAATGGGTGCCCTGGCTACCCTTATATAGAGTTCAGAGCCAAGGCGTATACAAAGAAGAATGTTGTCCTGATCGAAGGGTCGCAAGCTTGAGGGAGGTCCTAGCTAACTTGGCTTGCAAGCTACGCCGTCTTGTGGAGCACGTCTGGGTGTGGTTGTCGTCATGGTCTTATGGCCACGTCACGGCATGGTGCTACTGTGCTGGCCGTGGTGGCACTATAGGCATGGTGGTGGTTTGCCAGCCGTCCTGTGCGATGCGGTCCTCGCCATGGTCTTCATCATCGCCTCCTAATTTCCTGGGGCATCGTACAGGAGTTGGTAGCCACCCCCGGGTCATCGATCGCCTTGTTGGTTTGAGGAGCTAGGGGCCACGATCCCGATCGTCGAGGTCATGGGACCCGCCAGGTTGGATGGCCTCTAAGTCAAGGCCTTCATCGTGGATCCCATCTCGTGATGGGTAGAATCGTACATGCGTCCTGTCGGACCATATTTGGATGGTGGATCACCATACCGGTTATCACCATCGTGCCGTGTTGTCTTGTCTACACAGCGTGGCGCAGGGATGGTGCCTAACCAGATCGAGGTGCCCGCTGTCCCCTTGGTCCTTGAGGAGTCAGAGTAGCGTGCTTACTTTTGCCAGAGCGGACATGTTTTGGCTGGGCTTGACCTCTCCCCGTTCCTCCTAGGGGTCTTGATGGTGGGAAGGTCGTGAGTCTCTTTTGCATCATGTGGCTAAGTCTGATGGAGGGAGAGCTCACGACTATCCCTAGCCTTGGCGGTCGGCCTGGTTCACTTGGCTTAGCTAGGCCTCGGACGTTCGGGCCTTTGCTAGCTGATATATTGTGGGCCACGTGGTCCGCTAACTAATCGGTGCCTTGAGACACTGTTTGCGGTCACTAACGACAACATTCGACCGCCAATTATTATCCAAAACAGGAGAAATAAACAATATTTTGACACATATGCTTTTACAATTAACATAGTTCCACTTGTATTGGAGAAAATATGTTTTGCAGGGCAAATATTTTAATACAAGTGGAAAATGATCAAAATGCGTAAAAGAGAAAACATATCGCAGATTCTATACCAAAGTACCAAGCAAAGGTCCACTCCAACGAAGAATTTGGGCCGAGCATCGATGTGGCAATGGTCTAGGCCCACCCAGGAATCGACCATGCGAAGGCGGTGGCGAGGAAGGCCCACCAGTGCAGGGGCAGCACCCTGGGTGCGGCCGACCCCCCGCCTCCTCTCGGCCCCACCTTTCTATGATGGTTGCATGCCGCCATGCCACGGCAGTTCTGGGTATTTCCTATTTTCCAAGCGCTGAACCGACCAAGCCACTAGTATAAGAAGAGGGCTAGAGCTCATTCTCAACACACACAATCATTTGGAGCCAAGCACCTTGCTACCATCTCTTGTACTCTTTTAGTTTTAGTAGTACTTTTGTGAGCAAGGCAAGAGCTACTTGGAGAGCTTGTCTTCTTGGAAGAAGAGTGACATCTTGGTATGAATAATACTATGAAGAGTTCTTCCATAGTCATGCTCTCATATCATTTATATAGTAGTGCATGTGAACTAGAGTATAGTTGTCTTGTTATAATCATGATAAATGAACTAGCATATAGTTTGTGTGTTATGATTTTAATATGTTCAACTTCATGCTTAATCATTCATATGATTTATATGAGTAGAAGCAGGGTTAAGTTAAGGTGACGGTTCGTCGTTCCTTTAGGTTTGCCCATATCCTTTACTTGTCGATCCGTAGGGTCAGGGACCCGGGAAGATATGGGTAGTTTCTTTGTACACGGGTGTGGTGCTCGGGTGCACGGGAACCTTTGGATATGACGGTGCCCCACGGTTGAGGGGTAGGCGGCGGTGGTGACAGCCCTGTCCGATCCCTTGTAATCCCCCACGTTCGGATATTGTGTAGGAGTTTGTAAAGTCTCTCACGCTTGCTGGAAGACCAATGCTTGGAGATCTCCCCGTCCATCTTAAGCTTAGTTCTAACTCTAATCATATAACTTGTATGATCATTAATTGTTCTTTGCACGGCTATATTTGACCATGCCGGCTCCATGTAGAAATATTCTTTTATTCTTTGTTTTCCTTTTATTCTTAAGGTTGGCTCAGATGTGTGTCCACTATCCTTGATATACTATTTTTATCCCTGTCATGAACTATGATCCATGCAAGTATGTAATCTTGTTCATGCTCATGCTAGACTCTTATACCTTGTCCTTCTTTGAAAAAATATAAATAACGATATCCTGAATACTTCCGGGTGAAATGCTACAACGATAGATCCGTGCGCTTGCGGATATTTTCTGTAATCGTTAAGAACTATTGTAGTTGGTGTTTTTTGGTGGCGTCGCTAAGGATTAACTCAATCTTAGTGATGGTGCTAAGAAATACCAGTAGGCATTTCTGGCGCCGTTGCCGATGATGGACTTAAAACCTCCACACTTGGTGATTGCATTAAGAAATACCAACAGACACCTTGGGTTATGACCCCGACACTATACAATTAGTTATGTAATTAATCTATGTTTAATACTTCAAATTAGTGTTCAAACATCCGATATGACAGAACTAAAGTTTAGTCTTTTGGATCAAACACCCATTTACAGCCTATCAAACACGCTTGTTCGTAAGTCATCTCATTGATCCGCTTCGACAAGCCACACAGCCAAAATGAACAGACAGAGTCATTGATCCCGCTTCTACGTCCTCGGATCATGGGAAACTAGTATTGTTCTTTACTCCGATGGATACTGAGATTATTGAAAATATTCCACTGAGTACCGATGGAAGAGAGGATTTCTGGGCCTGGCACTATGACCGGTCCGGAATGTTTTTTTGGTGAGATCAGCATATAGAATGATGGTCCGCGAGAAGGCTACAACAACAGCTTGGCTGGATCACATTGCAGGGAGATCAGATGCAAGGTCGGAGGAGAAGGAATGGGTTGATCTCTGGAGAGTTAAAGTTCCACCCAAGATTGGTATGTTCCTTTGGAGGTTAGCACGCCACTCTATCTCAACAGGAGACATCCGTCATAGAAGGAGCATGGCCCCGAACAACCTTTGTGGTATTTGTGGAGAGGTGGACTCATGGAGGCATTCTCTACTTGACTGCAATATGTCGAGATGCACTTGGGTCCTAGAACTTGAGGATATCAGGAACGTGCTGGCTCATAATAAGCATGTTGACACCCGAGGTTGGATTACCGATGTGAGGAAGAAACTAGTAAATGACGAGTTCATTAGGATGGTGGTGACACTGTGGGCGATCTGGCATGCTCGCAGAAACCGGCCATTCCAGTTCCCAAATTGGCTAGGCCAGCGGCGAGTTTGCCTGTTTTAGCCTTGGCCGGCCCCTACGCCAAACCGACGAAACCGGCCATGCTAGTTTTCTTGCTGTGTCCGAGCCTGTTTGGTTTTCAATTAATCTATTTTCGACATGAAAAACTTGAAGAACGCATTTTGGACTTGTTTCCTACTAGGATAAGACCACCCCCTCTATATAAACAAGAGGATCACGGTTGATTGAGTATTCCAACTTCCAATCGTCAAAAACACAACACATACCCCTTTTTGCCCTACTTTCTCTCTATCTTGTTGTTCGTTACGTCTGCCAACGAGATTTGGCGACGTTCTAGGTGGCCTTGTTGACCCTAGAGCAACCTCCATATGCTCCTCCCCGACGGGTCTTCTAGGGAGGTGTTTAGGAGTCTACCAAGCGAAGAACGGGGTCAATATTGACCTAACTGACCCCTAGGTCAGTTTCGCCGATCGGTTGTTTGCAACCTTGGACGTGCTATCCTTTGCTGATGTGTGATGCAAATCATCATCAACACATCCAAACATCACCCACCTAAATTTTAGTTGGGATCAAAACATCTTCCGACTAAACTTTAGGTGTCTATAAAAGTATGAGTTGCACATAACATGATAAACTATAGGTGCAACTATATGATTTGGATCAAGATTTCAGCCACGAATAAGTTTGTATGTCATGGAACATGCCCGCACTGAAATGCACGAAATTTAAAAGGAACGGATTCCGTAGAGTCCAGTTGGATTCAAGTAATTTAAACAGAGTCCAATAAGCGTGTCTGTTTTTTTTTCCATGCGGTGTCCATGTAGCGCTGGGTTAATCAAACATGTTTGTTGCTTGAAATGGTTGAAAGACCAAACAAGTTAGGGTGTGTGCAATAACTGGTTTTTATTTTTCTAAGTTTACACAATACGAATCTCAATTCAAGAAATCCGATGTTGCAGTACATCGAACGTAAAACCAATTGCCACATTGTACAATAACTGATTCAATTCAAGAGATCCAATTTTGGTAGGTACTAACCTAGCAAAATCAAAGAGAAAGGGAGCCAGTGGATGAAAAAATGAATGGCTTGGTTGGGTTCATGGCTTAGCGTCATAGGACACGGCGCCGAGCCGGCCGCCATGGCACCGCACCGTTTTCTTCATGCATACATCGAACGTAAAACCAATTGCCACCGTTCCGTTTTCGAGATCAATTTTGCATGCCTAGCACAAAGAGAAAGGGAGCCAGTGGATGAAAAAATGAATGGCGCTAACCTTCACACCTTTTCGTCATGCGTCGCTAACCTTCCACCTCGGCGTCATGGTCACGGTACCGAGCGCAGGGTCAAAAAGGAAAATAAAACGCCCAGGGATTTAAAAATGAATATTTTTTAAAAAAGGCTAAAAGATAAAAAGTTCAGCATTAATCTCCAGCGTATCTGCAACCTAGACCTGCGAATCTACTGATCGAAAGCAAATTAATGCTGGCAGAGGCAGCCGCCGCCGCGACCGCGATGCAGGTGCCCCGTTATCTGCCGGCTCCGCCGCGCAAATAAAAGGGCACGCACGCGCCTGCCCGGGCGGCACCAAGAGACCGGCGCGGAGACGAATTGAAGCGCGCCGTATCGTGCTCCATGCGGACCCCTCCGCCTTCGCGCCGCGCCGCAATGGCGGCGCCAGCGAAGTCCGGGAGCCATAGGGTTCGCCGCCACCTCCTGCCCGGCGACCAAATCATCGCCGCGCTGGCCCCCTTCCTCCGCTTCGCCGATCACCTCGTCCACCGCATCGTCTGCCGAGCCTGGCGCCGCTCCTGCCGCATCATCGGCCGGGCGCCGCCGCCCTTCCCGTGGCTCATGCTCCCGCCGCCGCCGCCCGCCGATCGTGGACCTGCCCCGACCCCCGGTACCCCGCAGCGCCGAGTCTTCTACGACATCCCCGGCGGGAGATCCTACGCGTACCCGATCCCCGCGTCCTACCGCCACGTCACGAGCCGCAGCGGTTGGCTCGTCCTGGCCGCCTCGGACTCGCCGCGCCGGTTCCTGGTGCTGAACCCCATCACCGCTGGCCAGGTGGTCGTGTCGTGGCCGTTCGGGGAGGACCCCACCGAGGGCTTCCACGCCGTCCTGACGGCACCGCTCGGCGACCCCGGGTGCTTCCTCACGGTCGCCACGGATAGGCTCATCAAGTACTGCCGCCCCGCCGTCGGCGGGGACTGGGCCACGCTGCGCGCCCCGGGGTTCCGCTACGACACGGCCTGCAGCGACCTCGTGTCCGTCGGCGCCACGGTGTACCTCATGGACGAGCGGAGGAAGCTCTGGCGGTCGGACCTCGCCGCCGCGCAGCCCAAGGTGGAGTGCAGGGACACGGCGTTCGCGCTCCCGCAAGGGGAGAGGTGGCGCCACTACCTTGTGGAGTCGCTCGGCCACGTCCTCCTCGTGGTCTCGGACGAGCACCACAAGCGCCTCGGGCTCTACAGGCTCAGGTGGGAGGCGAGGCTGTGGGTGCCGACGCCCGCGAGCGGTCTCGGCGACAGCGTGCTGCTGCTGGGCCGCGGTTGTTCGGCGGCCGTGCCAGCGTCGGTCGCATCGGGCCGCTCGCCGGGCACAGTTCTGGTGGTGCGCCAGCCGTGGAGGTGCAGCTTCCTGCACGTGGACATTGGGTTAAGCTTTCGCGGCGGCGGTGGCGAGCAACCTTGGTTCTGGACGGAGTCGCGGTTGGGCGCGGGGCTCGGTGATGATCAGCTGGTGATGAGGAAGACGGTGCCGCAGTGGCCGGGCGAGTTCACAATCGGTGATTCATTCTGGTTCTTCCCCGGCATTGATGAAAGTGATTGCCCATAGGTGTCAAGAGGGATGGCTTCGAGTTTTTTTCCTGATGCCAAGAATCAGCACCAGCACAAAAGAAGCACACCCGGTCAGGTTGCGATAGGTGTAGGATGTGTGAGATTAGCATGATTTAGCTGAATTGTATTGTTCAGTTCCGGCCTAGCTAGTTGAAACATGTGAAATACCGCAGTGTGCAACATTAGAAACGTATCGTGCGACAGATGGATTCTTTTGTTTTTTTTTTTGTCCAGTTTGCATATGATTAGTTTCAGACATGAATTTAGTTCCAATTTAACCTGTGGTAACAGTCTAACAGACTATAGTAGGTAGGTGAACCACAACGGAAGCCTGCATAATCTTTTGCGCTCTGGCCCTGGTTTTTCACGCAATGGCCCTGGTTGGAACGCGGAAATTTCACAAGAATCATGTAGGAATTTTGTAGGATTTAGTTCATTCTCGTAGGAAAAATACAAGAACAGAGAAAAAAAATTCTCATGTACCAAATAGGGCAGATTTCATAGGAACCACGTCAAAAATTCTCATGTTCCAAACAGGACAGATTTCATAGGAACCATCATGTTAGCAGGAAACCACCTCTAGAAACTATCCAAATTGCACCAATTTCTTAACATGGGATCATAATAAATCCGCTGCCTTTTCTCTCTTCTCGGTCCACACTTTTCTTTTCTCCCGTCTGCTCTTTCTCTGCTTATCCAAAGCATTGAGCCTGGGCAGGTTATCGTTACTCGAAACATTGAGTCCCTACTAATCCCTCCCTGACTCCCTCTATAAATTGGTACCCATGGAAACTTCAAACTTGGAAGGTTAGGCTAAAGATGGAAGGCAATGAGAGAAGTCCCTCCTAACTTATTTTTTTAGATGCGCCACTGTGGCTTGGGGTGGTGTACGGATGGCGGTGGTCATGGCGTGACACAGGGGTGTGCGGCTAGCGGCGGCCGGCAGCATGGCATGCGCAGGTTGCAGCACACGACCGTTGGCGAGCGGCAAGGCTTGCGCAGTTTTTTTGTGGCTTGCGCGCGTGCGAGCGGCAAGGCGCGGCGAGGTAACCCACCAGCATTCAAGCTCAGTGAGCACAACGTGCGTGAGTGCCGGGCACAACCGAGCAGAGGAGTCCAACCCCACATCCAAGAAACAACTTGTTTCCTCCCCAAATAAAAGCTGCAGTTTCTTTGTGGGTTGGACTACGAGCCGACTTCATTTCTCACATGAGAAACAGTTTTCTCTCTTTTTGTTCTCTCTCCATACTAACTATTGTCACATCAGCTTTCTACGTACAATTCTACGTGACTGACAGGTTAATTTAATTCCCCTAGGTGCTATTCAGCATATCAGTTTGGTTTTAGGTGATAATCTGGCCAATTAAGTCATGCCAATTTTCTAAAGTCAAAGAGTCAAGCAGTTCTTCCCGTTTTACGGATAACTATTTATACTTTGTATTAGTCAACAATGCATGAATGCTTTTTATGTGTTGAATTTTGGTTGTGTATGTTATTTTAAATTGATACATCTTCTATGAAGAGGTCTAGAGCCGTAATTTGGAATGCCACCTAAAACGGCTTCCGTTTGTGTTTTCCCTTTCTCGCTCTATTTCTCCTTTTCTTTATCCCAAATCGTACTTGATTGAGGGCTCTAGCGGTAGATGCATACACGTCGTGGTTCGGTTCGATGAGCCATGAGGATGGAGCTCGTGCGGGCGAATGTGCCGCTCGCTGCCCATGGGTTAGAGATGGCGATAGAACCCGCAACCCGCGATTCAGTGGGTTTGTATTCTACTATTATTAGGGTGTTAGTATAGATGAAATTATATATGGGTCTGCTAGTTGGTAAAATTACACACCTAACCAGTACAACCAGTGGCGGATGCAGAACAAGATTGAATGGGGGCTGGTCTCTTCTTCTTCCTCTCTCTCTCTATTTTTCTTCTTTCCTCCACCTATTCTTCTCCCTCACCCTCCCCATATTTCCATTGATGCACCAGTTGTAGGGGGGCTGAAGCCCCCCTAGCCCCCCTATAGATCCGCCCCTGAGTACAACAAATGCATGTGCAACTTGAATCCTTGTAACCATCGTGAAATCGGACCTAAAAGACGGTCTAAAACATGAACAACCTAATAACTACCTAAGGGCGCCTCCAACAAGATAGCGAAATCACTAGCTGACATCATGTTTTTTTCGACGTGGAGGTGAGAGAGGTTAAAAAACTCAACGCTAGCGATGACGGAAGCGATAGTCTCGCAACCCATCCAAGAGAATCCGCAAGACCCACATCTCTACACTTTCTCTAGCACGGTTAGAATACTGTAGTTTTATGGTTTTGTTTATTCTTTACCTTCCACTTCAGCTAACAATTTAGATTTCACTATTGCTAACACCCTAAGAGCATCTTGACTATATCTTATTTTCCGTTTACATTACGATTGCTACAGAGGATTGAAAAAATAAAATAAAATGTCAGATTATAGAGGATGACTGTTGTACTATATCAACCCCATTTATTATATGGGGCCACGTTGAAAGCCCTAATTTGGTTTTGGATAATTGATGGAACCTAGGGACTAATCCATGTACAAAGTATGTAGACATGAAAGGATGGTCCCATTCCAAGTGGTGAAGCAAGAGGATGATCATGGTGGATGGTGATGACCAAAGATGATCAAGTGCTTCACATTTGAAAAAAAAAAAAAGAGAAAAACAAAAACCAAGGAGATCAAGGTAAAAGTATAAGATAGGTTTTTGTTTTTGCACTCAAGACACCACAGAGGGTGTGAGTGATTTAGGATCGATAGATGTACTATAAAGAGGGGAAATCTTTGGATAAGCGGTTATCGAGTGCCACTAGGTGATATGATTCTTGCATATACATTTAGGAACCTAGTGTGCTAACTTTGACCCTTGTGAAATGCTTTAAAAATTCTAACACACGTGCACACAAGTTCTACACTTTGTGGTTAGCAAATTGGAAGCAAGGGTGAAGTGGTTGTGGACTTAGAAAAAGAAAAGGAGGAGAAAGTCTATGACCGGACGCTGCAGTCGGAGTTGACCTGCGCGTCCGATCATTTATAGCCGATGGCACGTGACTTGGCAGAGAAGGCCGAGGAATGACTGGACGCAGGGACCTGACTCGTGACTGAATCCGGTCACCTGGTCCAGAGGAGGTTGCAGCGCGTGGTGGCGTTCGGACGCGGGAAGCATCACGCGATCGGACGTGCAGGGGCCGCGTCAGGTCGATGATGACGTACGCTGATGTTGGCTCGATGAGTGAGACAGTGTAGACCGGACGCCACGATGCGTCAGGTGACCGGACGCATCCGGTCACTTAAAAACGGCTATGTACTCGATCGGACGCCACATTGTGGTGAGTCCGGTCGATTCAAACTGCGAGTCCGGTCATGACTTAATACGCGAGCAAATAGGGACTTGACCATTGGAGATGAATGACTGAGGTTTCAAGGGGCGCCGCATGGATGCCATCCGAGGACCAAACGCAGCCGACCGTATGGTGGGGTGTGTCCGGTCAGGTGAGTCCAGTCAGCCCGCGAGCAGAGCAACGACTCTATTTTCAGGGGACGTCTATAAATAGTGTTTGGCCGGCCCTAGGCTCTCTTTTGGCACTTTTGACATACTTGACATCCTTGTGAGCCTAAACAAACACCTTCCATTCATCTTCATCATTGATTCATCATCATAGTGAGATTGGGAGTGATTCCAAGTGCATTTGCTTGAGTGATTGCATCTAGTGGCACTTGGGGATCGTTGTGGCTATGGATTTCTCGTTTCTCTTGGTGGTTGCCGCCATCTAGATGACTTCAAGCAGCAGAGGAGATTTGGCACTTGTTGGTGATTGTTCGTGGCCGGCTCCGGTGATTGTGAGGGGTCTTGCACCTTCCCCGGCGAAGAGCCGCAAGGTAACTCTAGTAAATTATTCATGTCATTGAGTTGCCTTACTTGTGGGTAGGTTCTTGCAGTGTCCATTTGTTGGACGAGGTTCGTGCAACACCTCTTAGCTACCGAACCACCAAGTGTTGGTCAACACAACGGGGACTAGCGTGCCGACAAGCACGTGAACCTCAGGAGAGAAATCTTGTGTCTCTTGTGTAATTGAATTTCTCCCGGTGATTGGTTATCTTCATATTATGATTGGTTCATTCTCGACACGGCGGTATAATCATCCTAATCACTCCATTACTTTCTTGCTAACTAGTTGTAGCAAGCTCTTTAGTGTAACTAGATTTGAGAGCTTGCTTAGCAGCTTAGTTTAATCTAGTAGAACTCTTTAGTGTAGCCTTGTTGAGAGCACTTAGTGGGTAGTGACTTAGCCTCTTATGTGCCTAGAGATCATAGCAACTATAATTGTTATGTAGGTGGCTTGCATCCTGAAAGCATCTAGACCCCTAGTTGGGTTTCGGTGATTAATGACAACACAAGATTGCTGTGACTAACATGTGTTTTGTAGAGACAACTTGAGTTAGGTCATGGTAATGGTGATTGATTGGGAAATTATGGTTTTCATGCCCCTGTCGATGGAAATCGCTTCGGTTTTCAAATGGATGGCAAAGTTAAGGACGGACTAGTTCTAAGTGTCGTTTGGCGTTGAAGAGACACTTAGAGTAGGTTAGGACTTTGTTTCTTTTCCTTTGGCCGTACTATTAAGGGAGATATGAACTAGTAGCTTGACCTAGATGAGTCTAATGGTTTAGGTGTGGTGCACACTTATCAAACTTAGCACTAGGTAACTCAAGGACAGCCCATAGATCAGTTGAAGTCGATGTCATTTTCAAAGTTGGTAAAATTTGAGGTGAATGGAGACTTGGATGATGACCGGACGCTGGACCAGATGCACAGGTGCCGCATCCGGTCAGTGTTAGCTCACGCAGCTAGGGTGTGTTCATTGACTGGATGCTAGACCGGACTCACAGATACCGCGTCCTGTCAGTATTAGCTCGCGTTGCTAGGGTTTGCTTTTTGACCGGATGCTGAGGATGTTGTGACCTGAC